CCCCTTTTTCATGTTTTTGCATGCCCAGTTATTACCAAAAAGCAGAGCACCACGTGCTCCCCCACTACAGGGCCTCTACAAAGACACATGCTTGATTCAGGTGATCACTGCAATAAACTTCCAGCAGAATATTTTGAAGGAAAACCAGACCGAATAAACTACCTGTAGACTGTTAACAAAGGGAAGAGGTGCCAAGTTAATCAAGCTAACCAGGAGAGCTATAGTGCTAGAGAAAGGGAGGAGAAAAGAACCAGACTCACAAATAAAGTTTTCTGTTGCTGAAGAACTTCCTGAGCCCCCACCCAGTTCCTGGATGACAGCAGCTCTTGGGCACATCTGAAAGACAACGTTGCTGACAGCTCCTCCTCTCCAGATATCACGGCCAGCTCAGCAGCAGTTTTAAGGGATGCCACGTCACCCTTTTTTGCCAGCACTTTGACTGCATCATAGGGTGAGGAAGCCCCTAAATAGCTAAGAGATAAAAGCAAATTGGCTTTAGGTTAGTATTAAGATACCATTTTTAAATGGCATTGCAGCCGTTCTAGTACAGATGTATAAATGAAGATATATCTGTGGTTTGCACAAGCTCTCAGAGTTCTCATCATTTTGCCTTATTAAATTTAGGGTACCTCAGACAGATGGTGCCTGATCTGGTGCAAAGCTCCGAAGGGAAAGCCTGCACTAACCCTAGTGGTTTGGACTGAAACCCCTGGTGCCCCATAAGCCATGAACAGCTGAGATGGGAAATCTAAATAAACAGTCAAAGATTATACCAGTCTATCAGCTACATTTCTCTGTATTTCAGCTTGAAGAGAAGAATGACCCAGTCATTAGGACATTAAAAAAAAAAATTGCTCTGCCACATTTCTAGTAAAAAGTCTGGAAATATCAGACAGCCTCTTTGCACACATCCTAATCTCAGTCCTGTTAGCCTAATTTTCTGAGACTTCCGGAAATGTTTTCAGAAAGAAGTGGCTCTGCCATAGTAGGTAAATTGTCCTCCTGCTCTGAAATGCTCTTTGAAGCTTTTCTTCCCACCAACGTTAGAGCAGTCCAGTGAGACCAGGCTCTATGAGGCATCTTAAGCAAATGATGACCACTTTTTGAAAGCCACCAACGTTCATCTGCTATAAGAGCCAGGAACCTTCTTTGTTCCAGGCGTGGAATCAATGCTCCTCTTTCTGCAGTAATGCTTACCATTTGGCAGCCATGGAATAATGACCATCTTTCTCTAGAAGAGCTGCCCAGCTGGTGTAGAGATCCTTCAGGACTGGATCTTCTGGACGCAGCCTGGCCTTAGCAATTACAATAGCTTCCCTAAGGCACATAAGAGAAACCAGTTCAAAAACTTAATACACTGTATACAAAAATAAATACCTTCCTCTTTCATGGCTGACGTTTCTCTCACATTTTAAAAAAGAAACTGCCTCAAGTACTTTGGGCTCAAGAATAAAGATTTATCTCATTAGATCCAAGAGGCCAGCTCCCGTTGTAAAAGTACCCATCACTTGAGGAAGCAAAAATGCTTATACGTCTGTCTGTCTGTCTGCACAATATATCGTAAGGAATATTCTAAAGGATGTTTATTAGTTTCATTTAGAGCAAACAAGAATTGCATGTTTCTTCCCAATCTTTTTCATTTCCTATGACCCTAAGAATTGATATGCAGCAGTAAGTAAATAATGTTTTTTCAAGTCATACATGTGTGTAGGGTTGATTAGTTGTCAGTAAATACTCTTCTGCAACTTCGGTAGTGCAGATATTCAGTACATAGCAACCAAAAGGTGAAACCAAAGCTATTCACTTAATGTGCATGAAAACAACAACCATCTAAACAAAATATACAGTGACCTGTAGAAGTGGTTCACTTTCAGGAGCTCAACAGCCTCGTAAACCTTATGGATGGACAGGAGGTGGGAAGCAGCCTTCACATACTGCTCCTGGAAACACAGCTGCTTTGCAAAGGCTTCTACTGTCCACACCCAAGCCTGATATCCAACTGGAAAAGAGAAGGCAATACCATTAGGGATGAAGTTTTAAAGCTGGAAGGATTTCTGTGAGACTGGTTTCTTCAACGTGTATCAGCTCCAGACTGGGTTTTTGTTTCTTAACCCTTTTAATGCACCTCACTGAGGCAGTAAAACACCCAAAAGCTTGTGCTTCAACATATCAGCAGGACTTCACTATCAGTAAAAAAAAAAAAACAACAACTTAGCAGTGTATTTAAACCAACAGCAACACTGAAGGACTACACTATCTTACAGAGTACCAATTTTGTGCTTGGAAGTATGGACTTGCTCTTCTAAGAAGTCCCAAAGGAAATCAGTCTTTATTCTCCTCTAAGCTGAGTGCTTGTGGGAAAATCCAGGTCTTAATATTTGTTTTATGTTTTATTTTTGTCATCGGGCAGTTAAAGAAACAACATATTTCCAATTCAGAGCAATCAGAATGAACTTAGCATTGGCAGCTAATTCCATTTGCTTATTTTTTACAAGTATGAACATACCCATGGGTGAAATTGCTACTAGTTGGTCTGTCAGCTCTCCCCGCTCAGCAGCTGCCTGGAGGATGCCCTTCAGATCTCCTTTCCACAACATGAGCTGTTGAAATAGCTCTGGATGCCCATTCTCCAAGTGGTATTTTCCTGTTCGAGAGCAAACAAACTTTCTCGTCACCCAGCAGCATGAATCCAATAGCACTATTATCCACAGTAAAATATGCTGGCAAAAAATGGCTTTGTTCAGATTTAAGCATCTTGAAAGTTTGCATCTGAAAACCCTAACAGCTGTTTGGGAAAAATGAGTCCTTCCTTCAATCCTGCATTCTTAATCCTGCACTTCAAAATTCAATAGAGAAAACCTGAGCATCTTTCCCAAACTGTTTTCTTCCTGAATGTCACTGTGGCAATGGGCAATGGACATATTGTCAAATTGGCTTCATTATGTTACTTACCTTCCATATCCATCATCTTGTGCAGAGACGCCCTGTCTGCAAACAGCCCCAAGTGGACGTGATCCTCGAGGTCAGAGGACAAACCCTCAGTATGGCCTATTGCAAATAAAGAGAAGGAAAACTTGATTCTGGTGCAACACAGGGTATCAGAATCTGCCAAATCAATGTCCTGCTCCAGTAAACTCAACCCCTGGAAATATTTATGCCTTCCACTTTTATTCCTGTAAACAGATTTAACAGTTTAACAATCTCTTGCATTTAAACTTCACCTAAGTCTGATTAAAAGGATCATATTTGTGCAGAATATTTATTCAAAACCAAACATAGGAAGCTCCTTTGTAGACTTTGAGTTTAAGACTGATACCTTGAGATTTCAGACATGTAGCAAGCTTCAAGCAGTCCTGATGCAGTTCCTCTTTTGATCTGTGATCCATGGATGTGGTGAAGGGCAAAACTGAGCGAGGCTTCCTTTTCTTCAGAGAGGAATCAGGACCTGAAAAGTCAGCTGCATTTTAGTCACCACTGCACACTTGCAAGAACCTCCTTGAACGCTTTGATATGTTTCAAAAAATCCTTGTTCCTCAGTAAGAGAGAAAGCAAATTCTCAAGTGGCACATGCATCTCTACTATGACAATTCTCGTTTTTGAATACTGATCACTTTGCACATTTCTTTATGCACCAAGTCATCTGAAACCAGCACCAAAAAGGCAATACCTAAGCCCATACTGAACAACTATTTAGCCAACCTGGCAAGCAAAGCAAATACAGGACAAAGAGAACCAAAATGTTTCAAAGGTTTTAAAAGCAAACACTATCTTTCTGCACCACTTAATTGGTTTCATATCAAGAAGGGAAGCTACAGCCAAAAATTAGCACAGAATGAGCAGCTCTGCTTGGATGCAAGCTGTTAAGAAATCACCAAAACATACTAACCTGTTTTCTCTTTAGGCTGATCCTTTTTCACTAGGTTGACTTTCTGGATCACTAAAGGCTTTGTCAAGCCAATTGAAAAATAATCAGAAGAGGTATCCTTGGACTCTGTGGAGTTAAACGATTAAAAAAAAATACGTTGGAAAACGTAAAGCACAACACTTCAAATATTCACAATATGTATAGAAAAAATAAGCTTCACTTTGCCATAGAAGGATAGCTTTTTTTCTAGAGAAAGGAAAAAATAACAATGTTAGAGAACTGTCAAAAAGCTAAAGCAAATGTCAATGGACATTAACAAAGGTCTATAAACATTATAAGATTCATCACTGGGAGGCATCACAGATCAAAATAACACTGTTTCAGGACTAGCACCCCAGTAATTTTGTTCTTTATGCCAGAATCTTCTTATTTAAAAATACTGAGTCCCAAACAAGTTTATAAGGAGTCCTGGGAACCATACTTCCTTCAAGCGGAATATTAAAATTAAAGATTTATGAGAAAGTTAGCATGAAAATGTTAAGCTTGGTGACGTCCTGAGAGCTAAACAATATGGGAAGTACTGAAGTAAGACAATCTGATTATTACCTATCGTGGACACTTTATCAGGTAACTCCACCTCCTGAGCTTCTTTTTCTCCTTCATGGTCTGAAACTCCATTTTCTTCTGGTAAAATTTCCTTCATGCTTTCATCTCCATTCATGGTGTCACTCAGATCTTGTTTGGATGTATTCTTTCCTATAGGCTTTTTCTTCTTCTTTGTTTTGGCTTTGGGTTGCATACTTCTTTTCTTCTCTAATTCTATGCTCTTCTTGCCTGGAAAGGTTTTACAAAGGTTACCCTGATATCATCTGTAGAGATTTTTAGTATATTGATTACCTGACTCTCTGCATCAATATTTGGTTTCCAAATAGGATATAGCTCAGTTCAAACCTGGACACAGTTTATCCCTAAAGAGGTAGCAGGCAGATTTGAACTGGGCATAAAAACTTCATTATACAGTTTCATCATGGCAACTCTTTACTCCCTTCTCCCTTACTGTCTCCATAAAAGGATCTTCTGAATGTACTTACCCTGAGGAGGCCGCGTGTGCTCCTGCTTTGAGATGAGCCATTTGTGAACAGAAAAATCATCACCTCCTGTGTAAACAGAATCTGAATCCACTGGTGACCACTGGACACAGAGTAGCCGGCTCCGGTGCCCTCGGTAGTTGCAGAGTGGCTCTTCTTTCATAACATCCCATACCTTATAAACACGAAAAACAAAACAAAACAAAACCCCACACACAATTACTCTGAAAGTCTCATCCTCCCCTAATACACATTTTCTCTTCAATTATTTGCATGTGTAGGAGCTTCTCTTTTAGGGTGTCTGAACCACAGTACAAGTATTTCAAATGTCAACATGCAAACGGAAAAATCTCAGAACTTCCTTTGTTTGCACTGATACATTTGTGTAATATATCTTTTTTCTGAGGTTCTTAAAGTGAAAACACAAATGACTGAACTTACGAATCAACTCATTACTCATTAAAACTTGCCAACTGCCCATCTTCTCTATACAAATTCCTCTAGGTCTGAACTAAAAGTCCTCTTAGCAGTATTCTCCTTTGTCCAGTAGCAAACGGAAACAAGAGTAAAGCAAAAGGCAAAATTTTGCTGTTTCAGGTATCCAGGACCAGCAGATGGATATCAAGTGTAAATCTGCAATAATTCAGGAGTTTAGCTCTGTTGTTCAGTCTGATTCTAAAGCTCTAGAAAATGGATAACTTGAAATTAAGCGAAACATTTCTGAGTGGCTCTAGAGTAATACCTGAGCAGTGCCATCATAGCAAGCAGACACCAATCGTGCCTCATGGTGGGGGCTCCAAGAAAGACTTGTGATTTTAGCTGTGTGCCCTGCTAGAGTTCGAAAAGGCTCTGTTATTGTTAGAGGAGTTTCTGAAGAGCTCTCTGAAAGAAAAGAAGAAAAACATCAAGTATGATTATAAGTATGGCTAGCAAGACAAAGCAATGTAAAATAGTATGTCAAGACTTAGAAGTATAATTTTGCAAACCATTACCTACAATGCTCTTCAGATTATGCACGTAAATAGTAGCATTAACTGAGCCTGAAGCTATCAAGTAACTCAGCTCTGGCTGGCTCCCATGTTCATGATGCCAACGAATAGCATTTATCAGTTTATGATGCTGCTGGATAGTGCAGAGCAATTTCAGGTTTGGAGCTTGGAATATTTCAATTGAGCTGAAATGTAAAAACAACAATGTAAGAAATCCATCAGTGAGTGAAAAGGGATTTTTTAGTATCAGAATGACAGAACATGAAATAGAGTAACTAAGTTTTTTTGTTTCTGAATTTAACTCAACTTAGTTCATCAGCAAAAATAAGTTTCCATCACCAGAAGACCACTGAAAAATGATTTAATATGATGCGGAGGATCCTCCACTCCAAAAGCAACAAAACTAAGTAGCAGCAAAGAATGACATATTATCACAAGTGAGATATCTTGGCAGCACTGCATTCAAAATTCCCTTTTCCAGTATCCCCAGAAATTTTACTGACATGAAAATATGTTTTGTAGGTTAAAGAACAGAGATAAACTAGGGTAACAAAAAATACTTTTGTTTCCCTAAACTGATTCTAGTCAAGATCAACTCATTCACAACTTTAACCTACAAGGTGAACATACCCATCTTCATTACCAAGAGCCAAGAGTTTGCCATCTGGTTTCCAGCTGATCTCGGTATGTGCAGGCAGTTTGTGCTGTAAAAAGAAGACACAACTGTTGCCAACAATCTTCACCGACTTATGTCTTTACAGCAGCATTTTTTAAGTTATTGTTTGTGACAACAAAACCAGTCAAGTAATTTAGGGTTGGAACTTTACATTTACAATGCTTGCCCACCTTGTGATCTAACCCATGGCATTATTCAGAGTATTATTTCTCAAATACTTCTAAATTGAAAAAGCATGTATGAGCTAATCACTGTAAACCTCCATATATAGCTTTAAAAACAGACACTTTATTTCAGTTACTCTTTTCTGATGAAGTAAGTTACAAAGCAGAAAAGTAACTGATGGCAGGAATAAATCTGCAATGTTCATTTCAGGGGGAAAAAAATCTAAAGTCTTCTCTCCAGAGACAAATACATACAATATCTATGCAATCTGAGTTACTTAGATGTCTCTGGAATTCACCTGTGAAGACGGAGGGTTTAAAATCTTTATTTGTTCCAGATGCATCAGGGAGACAAAAATGAAAACTTAATGTGTCAACCACAGGGCTGTAGAAGCTATGATATTGTTACTAGTGTCCCAAAAAAACAAAACAAAATACTCACCTTGATTGAATTAGTGTCTCTGATGACTTTGTTGATGTCATTTGCTTCTCCACTAAGCTTCCAAGGGTTGTGTTGAAAAACAATACCTTCACCAGCACAGCTATATAGGGTTACAGAGGGCTGTTCACCTTCTCCTATCCAACAAAGAAAAATGCTAAATATACTATGTTCTTCGCTAATTTTGACAGAAGTAATTACTCCCATTAAAAATCAAAACAGTATTTTAAAAGGCAATATACCTGCTTTGATTGCGTGTGATCTGGCAGTGAGAAGCTCTTGCAATACAGTCAGCTGAAAAGATCTCTCATTTGTTATAACAGCTCTTTGCTAAAACAGTGACTGAGTAATTTTAAACTTACTCAGTCTAAAAACTTAAACTTTTAAAGTTTGGTCCATAAAAAAATTCAAAGTTGTGTAAGAGGAGCTACTGGAGGATTTCTCATTAGTTCAAATGATAGAGAGAGATTCTGGGGCTGAGAAACCCACACTTGATCGTGTGCAGCAACTGCAGAGGTCTGAAGCAGCCAGTTACAGGTTTATAATATGCTGAAATAAGTAAGGGGTGTTCTACTCCACTCCCACCTACCTTCAGAACCTGCTAGAATTCACAAATTAGACATATAACAAATTGTTGTGCTCTCTTGCAAAACTAATTATAACTCTTCAAGTGGAAATGCATCCCCAATGGGTAGGAAGGACAGTACCAAGAAACAGGGCTCCTTTTCCTAAGGAGGGAGGACACAGATTTCATGGCGTCTGTGTGCTCTGCATGGAAGTCCTACTCTGTCACAGGGGATTGCAGGACTCACCAAGAGATAGAGGAGGAGTTGGAGGGCCCCAGGCTAATGTGTATACAGTCTTCTTGTGGTAAGTACTGGAGATCTGAGGTGGCTTATTTTTAGTGCTGTGTAAGAAGACAGGAAGAAGCTACAGTCAAGATTTAAACAAAGGGTACTGAACTTCTCAGGGCAGATATCAAATACAGAAAAAGATTCAAGCAATATGCTTCCAGTGACGAAACCTGACAACAGATGCCCTAACATACAACAAGCAATGATCCAGCCAAACCTTCTTTGATATCTCCAGGACACAACTAAAAATGTAACAAAACTATCCTGATGAGCTCCACCTGCACCTGCAGGAAAGCTCATGTCACGCAGGCATGGTGACATAGGAGCAGAATCTGACAAATCAGTCATAGCAAAACTAATTTTGTATCATTATCCTCAGCAGATGGAATAGAAAACCATTTCAACCATTTCAAATATAAAAACTTAACATTACTTCATTCATTTAACAAGCTTCTGTTCACTTCATCATCAAATCTACAACTTGCTCATTAGGACACAGACAAATTTGAAAGTTATTTTCTTACCTGCTGGAGAGGGTGTCAAATATGCCAACTTTTCCATCATCGGTTCCAAAAGCTAAGCAGCCTTCTTTGGTTGGATGCCAGGATAACTGCAAGTAAAAGAGCAGAAAGAGCTTGGCTTTAGATACTTATTAGTTGGGAAAAATATTCTTCAGAAGACAAGAAATAACAAAAAGGGACGGAAAACAACAGAAAAGGGAATCAAAAGCACACTTACCGCTGTAACCTTGGACTTTATGCTTTGCCAGAATGTTTTAACATCGTAGCTATTGCTCATGGACAAAGTATTCCACACCCGTATCATGCTGTCCCCAACACCGATGGCAAGACAGCCTGTGTCCACAGGGGAGAAGGCAAGACTATAGACAAATCCCCCAAGCGAGGGCATTGTCCAGCTACAATCAAGAGTGGATAGGTCCCAACACTTCACCTGAAGAAACGTGGCAACAAGGAATGGTTAAATGCATGAGTGACTGGTACAATGAGAAAAAAGCACAAGTAAGATAAAGAATCAAAAACTCAAATGCAAGACTCGATATATAATTTTCATTCTCAGCAGAATATGTCACAGACACAGGGCTAGTTGGAAAACTGTAACAGAACAGGCAAAATGAGCACACTTCAACATTACGGCTCCTCTTCTGACTTCTAAATAAGAGTCTCTCTGCTGCCTTAAAAAAAGGAAAAATAAGAAAAAACATATAGATGCTACAGATCATGAAAAGAGGTCTACAGTTCAATACCACTTATCATTTAAAAAAGGATACTTAGCTCTTACTAAAATGAAACATAAGAGTCAAAGGAGGTGGTAAGCACCCGTTATTAATTGCTTACCAGTCAATCCAGAAGGGCATATCCAATCACTTAATCACAGTAAGAGCCTGAGCTAATCAACTAACAAAAACATACACAACCAATGCTCAGAGCAAACTGTAACAATGCTGTAATAAAATTCTGCACCCACTTTTGAAGAAAGCCTGTGGCCATAAAAGAGATCATCTCAATCAAATGAACTGCAAAGGCATTGCTATTTTTATGCTATTATTTAAAAGGTTCTTACATCTCTGTCCATTGAAATGGAAAAAAGTAGCTCTTTGTCTTGAATTTTCATGGAACACAGATTGAACACAATTCGTGAGTGATTCTGTCCCTCTGAAGATCCTAAAAGCGTCCACTTGCGTTTCCCGGTTTGGGTCAAATCCCACAGTACTAATTCTCCCCTGCAAATTAAAAGTGTGCAAAACGTTGTTCACTTTTAAAAAGAACCTTAGTATACATACAGCTCCTATTCCATATATACACACTGCAAGTATAACAGCAATTCAGATATATGCATGCCTATGATATGTACCTATACATATGTATCTCTCCCCCGACCTACAAGCGGTATCCACGTTTAACTGCACTCAAAGCTGTGATGCCATTTTCTCCCATTAAATACTAAATGAACAAAAATATTAGTAGTACTTTTAGCACTCATTATTTCCATTTAACAGATAAATTGTGAGGTAAGTAATTATTTTATAGAAGTTTAACTCTTGGCCTGCCTTCTCTCCGGTTACGCTGACAGAGATAGGGGGTGGGTGTATCAAGGTTTCTTCTGTAGCTCTCTCCTTAATTATCAATAAATACACGCAGGGTTATTGCTGACAGAGATAGGGGGTGGGTGTATCTCCTTAATTATCAATAAATACATGCAGGGTTATGGAGTGTGCCAAGCAACTGTGTGCCATTCTTACCCAAAACAGCTGGATACAATTTCTTTGGAACGGCCACAAGGCCAGTGAACAGTCAGCCAAATGCGCTCTTTAACAGCAGGATCCACAGCTCCACCTCTTCGCTTCGTGGGTGGCAACTTCAAAGTCATTACACCTATGGAACCAAAGGGATCATCCAGATCTAGTACCTCAACATTCTCTGACAGAAATATAAGTCCTGTGAATCCAAAGTTTTAAGCACACTCTCCTGTGCTTTAGAAGTACTCTAGTTCCTACTTTCTAAATCACAGAAATATATTTAGTCTGCTTCTACTCACTGAGAAACATATATAGATCTGACTATCCCAGGCTGAGATCTACCTCACTGGTTCTTTATGGTCTCCTTCTCCTCCCCACTTCCCTTGTGCAAAGGGAATCATCTGACTTCCTGAGAGGATGCATTCAAGTGATTTACTACTTTCATAGATAAATAATTTTTGTAATGTCAAACATGAATTTTTATCTGCTTATTTCTTGTCCTGCTCTTGTTGGACACCAAGAACATCCTAACTCTCCAATTCTGACTTCTTTGTGCTAAAAATAAAATCAAGCATGGAATTGGGTATATTATGGACAGCATTATACCAAGGCAGAACTTTGATGATACTTCTGATTTCTGTTTTCCCATTAGTGCACAGAAATTCAAACACTGTCAACAATGTCAGCATTAAATCATGAGGTTAGGAAATTACACACATAGTTAAAGAAGAACTCTTCCACCATATTGCTATGATTTACTTCACTTATTAATGATATTAATCTTACTTACTCCTGCCTCTAGTACAGCTCCATATTCGTATGGTCTGATCTTTGCTTCCTGAAGCAAGGTAACAACCTTTCTTCATGGCTGTATCTTGTGTCGAATCCCCATTTGGAACTTCACTTTCTTCTAAACGAAATATTGAATAGTGTCAAAATCATGTTATACTTTGAAATTCAAAGCACTCAAAAAGTCAACTAAAACTGTATCGTAGTTTAACTCATCACATGCCTTTGATTAGCTACTATCTTTCTATGAATAAGGAATTGAGTTGTCTGGGAGGATTTATATATAAACTAAAAATCACTTTACAAACTCTGAATCACTTCTACATACCTTGGAGCTCATCTTGCCAAGCAGGTAACCTTTCCTCACCAGGCACAGGGCACCAGGCCAGACAATGTATTT